GTAAAGATTTAAAATAAAGCATATTAGATCGAAGTACTATGTAGTTACTAGTACGTACACAACATATTATGTTATGATTCATAACGACATGATTATAATGGCATACATACAGAGCATTATATTATTATTAGGATTTTGGCACACGTAGTCACAATACTACACACATACTATATACTCTATGAGTGGCCCTCCATACATATTAGTGGTATAATGGCAGATAAAACAGTAACTACGTTAGTCTAGGTAGTTATTTTTTCATACTCTATACAACCATTGAGCTATATATAGTTACTATTGCACACTACACTTAACGTCATTATAATAATTCAATGGCATATACATGGAGTAATAACTCGTAGTTACTACGTACTCTATAATCCATACGACTAAATATAGTTACCACATAGATATACTACGTACATTACACTGCACACTACACTAGAAGTCATCATAATGATTCAATGGTAGATAAAAATACTAAGTACGTACATAGTCTAGTAGTTACTACTTCATACTCCATACAACTATGTATACAAAGCTATTACGTACTCCATATATAGTACATACTACACTACACTAAACGTCGTTATAATGCTTTAATGGCATGTATATAGTTACTTCTCCATATGTACTACAGTACACTGCATATATTATTCAATAATGGCATATACAATTATACATGGAGTGGTGAAAAACTCATATATATCATATCATATTAACGATTAATATAATGCACTGATCAACAAGCAAAGTCCGCAATAAAAACTATTTATATAGTAAACACAAAAATATATTATTTTATACCACAATTAGAACAAATTGGAGTATTTATTTATTAATTAGTAAAAGCAATCGAGAGTGACTTTTAAAATAATGGATGGCCAACTTTTAGCCAACAGTCCAGAACCAATCATATTAGATGCCAGATACCACTAATTTTCTCAAACAATCACCTAATTAAAGCTCAACATATGATCAGATACTTGGGAGCCAAAATTTGCCATTTTTGTCTACATTGTATTAAGCTAAAAAGGGTTAAAATCATATTATATACAAAAGAGTAAAACTCTTAAGGTTACTGGTTACATATATTGATATATACTGATATACATAATGTAAGAATATATTCCATCATAAAATAAAACAAAAAAACTAAGTCAACACTTACCGACAGCTTTTAATGGAGAAATTAAAGTGGGTTACCAGAATATATGATCATTATTTCTCCAAATTAATGCGCTGCATGATCATATATAAATAGGTGAGCTAGGTATTACAATATTTGCATCACAACAAAATAAATAATAAGATGAGAAAATAAATGTTTTGATTTTATATATATGAAGAGAAGGGACTTGCATGAAGAAAAGGGTTTTTGGTTTGGTAGCCAAGGATGACTTGCCTGCTCCATGAATTCATTTGGTGATCTTCAAATAAAAGATCCCAAATTACTTGGTTTCAGGCAGTCTCCTTGGCTATCTTGACCGACTCTTTTCTCTCATGTTAGGCCTCTTCTTTTTTATTGCTATATCCTGAACCTATATATGTGTGTGCGAGCGCACGTGTACATGTTTGAATTTATAGCGCATGTAGTGCATATTTTGTTTCAATACGTACATGCTCTCATCTCTTTCAAATCTATGGAGTACGTAGTAAATTACAATTACGACAATTAGTGGCTTACTAGCTATAATTGTTGTTTTAAATATACCTTTTTCATGTTATTCCGTATCCAGGTAATTACAATCAAGGGCTTAAGGTGTGTAGCATGCATTTCCTATATGACTCGCTTTATTTTTGAAGAGGAGGGAATTGTAATCAGCTCAGAATAATCCGGCCTAGATCTTCCAAAAAAATTTACCATATATATTAATTTCAGAGGTTTTTTTACAAAAATTTACCCACAGCACTCCATCCTTGCCATTGTACTTATCTATATATTTTTATTTTTCCATTTTTAAAAATATAATCAATAATTACCCTTTTTACTTGTAAAATTATTACAAAAATACCTATTCTTTTATATTATTCAATAATTTTTTTAAAATATTGCAAGAAATATATCCTTTGCATTAGCATGGCCATATTCTAGTATCACTAATTATTGAGAATTGATCCTTTAGAACACTAGAAAAATATAACTCATGTGTTACATTTATATCCTTCTACTACTAAACGCTTGATTACTTACACATTTTGACACTGATGCAGATTCCTACTCGTCAAAAAAGGATGTCAGCCTATTGTGTCTAAATTAAGTTCAGAAGTATGCAAAATATTTAGGTGTCATTTTAATGTTATTGTCTCTAATGCTTGTTGGCTCCGTAATCTCTTATTTGAGCTTCATTGTATTCTTTGATAGGCCACTTTTGTTTATGTGATAACATCAATGTGCCATTATTTGTCCACCTACGCACAGAATAAATTGAGATCGTTCATGAAAATGTTGCATTGCGACGATTTAGATATTACATAATTAATGTTCCTTCCTGGTATCAATTTACAGATAATTTTACAAAAGGCTTTTCTCAGAAGTTGTTTTTGGATAACTATGGGGGTGTAATTAAGAATTCATAAAATAATCTACTCATAGATACCAGTTTAATATAGAATAATCTACTCAAGATACGAGTATTATATGGGATGATAATGATATATTTTCATGTAAATGTTATCCTAGTTTGACGGGAACAAATTTAGGATTTTTGATTTTATATTGTAAGGGCATTGTGTAGTTGGAAATTTACAAAGCTCAATCCGAAAGAAGTATGTGAATATTGAAAATTTTCAAACATTGCAATTTTAAAAAAAAAGAGGAAAAACTTTTGATCATCTTTTGTGATTATAAGAAAACATTAATTTATTTTAATAATATTTACTACAATATACTTAAAAATATTAATATATTAAGATATACTTTGACAAACATAAAACTCTCAACGTTGCCGTTAAAAACTAATGGAGAAAGTATGGACAATATAGTTTTTAGTTGGTTATGTTAGTAATTTAGAGTGTATAAATGGGGAGAGTCCTCTCTCAGTTGGGGAGGGGCCGCGGCTGGGAAACAGGGGAAACAAAGCCTCGAAAAGACGCGCCCGCGGGTGACTGGGGAGAGCCCTCTCCAAGGGTGCAGCCAGCCTTCTACAGGTTTCAAAGAATGAGCTCCGATCCAAATCATCCTGTCCGCGCCCGCGGCCTGGACACCCGCGCCCGTGTCGATTCAGTTTTGCGGTTTTTCGTTCTTTTTATTCAAAAGGCAGATTGTGAAATTGGAAAAAACAAGGATTCATTTTCAGTTTTCTCTCCTCTCCGAGTTATTCTCTCCACATTTTCATTGAAGAATCTTGCAAACTCATTATTGAAAACTCTATTAATTTAGCCAAATATTTGATAATTTATCATCTAATTTCGTCTCTAAGTGCTAAGAACGATTTGTTGTCTTTTGTATTTCAAAGAGAATTTCCGGTAAAAACCCAAGCACCATTGTGGGGGAAATTAATCTCTCTAAGACAAAGTATCAAGGTTTGAGACTCACGTGGTCAATGAAATTCTCATGTCCATGTTCGTTTGAAAGGCTTGGAAGTGAGGCAAGTTTGTAATCTTTCATATTAGTTAATTTCATTGTAATTTCTGTAATTCATTGAATTAGTAGTGTTTGGTTTGAATACACTTAGTTGTATTGATTTGGTTGTATAATTTTATTGTAATTATACATTGTTTTAGGTTTTGTTCCCACATAAGTTTGTATTTGAATTATACTAGAAAACCTAACAAGTTATTCTAGCTTTTCATTCTAACAAATCCCTAGATCAAATGTTGCACTATTCTGAGAGGTGACACTTCCACATCCACCAAACATATGGCCTATTTATGCAATAAACACAAATAATATTGAGTGAAAAGGGAAGATTTTTGGATAGTTTGGACATCTATTGGTCAACCAAATCTAGCCATCAAAAAGCAAAATCAATCAATATTATGCTTTTCAAATTCCGTTATTCCATCTTAAAATGACAGAAGTCAAGTGCATTATCCAACACCATCATATTATTTGCTACTCCTAAGATTGTACCACTCGTGTGAATATGGCATAGTTTAATTGGTAAATTATTTTTAAAAAATATTCGAGATTTATCTTTAAATTTTGTGTATACAATTGTTTTTATTTAGTTGTCGATATAAGGAAAAATAATACTCGTAATTAAATCACTGGAAAATTCTTTAAACAAAGTCCGTGAATAGTATCGTCATTTTCTGCATTTCAATGGAACAAGAGTAGGTCACATTAATGAGAGAACGGTGGGGGCCATCAAATAATGGATAGAGGCATAGAGCTACCAAAAATCTAATGTGGGATGCTAATTGTCATCTTGGTTTGGGTATAAATACTAAATAGACAAGATTGGTACAACCAAAATCAGCATCACAAATGATGATGCTGAATTGCTGATGCATCACAAATTCTTCAAAAGAAATAAAAAAATCAGCATCACAAAACTTTAATTTATTAAGCCCGTCAAAAAAAAAAAATTAAGAGCAATGTGGCCAATATTAATGAATTTGGGCTCACTGATATTGGGTCTTGCATGAAGAGAAGGGTCTTGGTTTGGTAGCCTGCTCCTCCTAGTCATTTCATGGGAGCTTTGACTTTATTATTATTTATTTACTCATTTGATAAAGTAATTAGTAAGATAACTCCCAATAAATTAGAGATGTAAATCCTTCAACTAAATAGTTTAATTTCTTGGGATGTGATACGAATGTTTGGTTGAATGCACGAAACAATTGCTTGGAAAGGTCATTCGCAGACTAGCAGCTTGGGTTGAAGGGTACTTTTAATAATTTCATTAAAAAGCTAGTCGCGTGTTTTCATCGATGAGTTGACTTTCCAGAGGTGCAAAAGCGATTTTTCTGTTGACATGCTGAAACCGTTCAACGTTGATGGTATAGCTAGAGTGCTTGAATGAATGGCAGAACAATAGTTATTCAAGGGAGATGAGTAAGAGCTAATGATGCAGCATCAAATTGGTCATATTTCACAGCTTGAAGATTAATTTTTGTCCATACAAACATTTAAAGGACAACATATAAGTGTTTCTTTTTTGAACATAAGGAAATGCCGGACAATACTTTTGTCCAGCTTAGGTCGCAGAGCACACTGATCAAAAGGTTAAAACCCACATACAGAGTACATATGCTTAGAAGACAGTATCTGAATGACAAAGCTGCCTCCTACCCCCTTCCAATTGACATGTTAAGTCTTTAGCCCATAGCATACTTCTGAGTCCAGCTCCTTGCAGTGCTCTCATATTTCGCCCTATCAGTCTTGTACATGTGAGCGATTTCTGGTACTAGGGGATCGTCAGGATTTGGATCTGTCAAGAGCGAGCAGATGGAAAGCAAGACCTGCTCACAACAAAATTTACTATTAGCATAGGTTTTCCGCAAGATCATGATAGCAGATTCCAGGCATGACCATTAATTGGTCCCACACACACACACACACACACACACACACACAAGTCTAACAAACCTTTGAAATGGTAAGGGCAGGGCTCCACTGCTCCTTCAAGATGTCTAAGCAAATGCTTCCGTTGCTGTTGATATTGGGGTGAAAAACCTTTGTCCTAAATGCTACCTGCTCATATTACCACCAGGAAAAAATAATCTCAAACATCGGAAATAGTACTACGTACCCACAAGATTAAATGAAAGCATTCAACCTTAAACGTTAGAGATCACTATCAATTTTCAGCAACCATTCTGATTTATTTTTTAAAAAAAAAAAAAAATGGAAACAGCAAATTTTTATTTAGTGCAAAGTTCAGTAGTAAAACAGCAGGTGCAATAATGATCATAAAGCTAAACGAGAAAATGTAACACACAAAGAAGGTCCAGAAAGCAGAAAGATTAGCAACAATTCTAAATACTCCTAGAAGGATTGAGAGCCTATATCCAACAGATTGAATACTATAGAGTAATTACCTTGGGGGGTTTAAATGGATAATCTGGGGGGAAGTGAATAGTAACAAGGAAAACACCCCCTGCGTAAGGACTGTCAGGAGGGCCCATAATTGTGGCTTGCCAATGAAACATGTCTTCACCCACAGGACCTGCCAAAAAGTACATTCAATACCATCAGCTTCTTAACAATGCTTCAACATATAGCTAACATAAAGAGGGGGGGGGGGTGGAGGGGGTGGAAGATACATCATTGTAGTTAAACAAAAAGAATGTTATTGCAGGCCCTGTATAGCAGTATAGATTCCCAAATTTAACTTGCTTAAAATAATGGAGATTGAACAGGCAAGCTGGGAGAATATTAGGCAAAAAACACAATGTGATGGCAAAGTCAGTTATAGTGATGTTCTTTAAGGGAGGACTCGAGGGGGGGGGGGAATTGACAGCATTTTACAACAGAATGATTTTAAAAGATACTAAGTTTCTGTCATGATTCATCATACAAGCATAATAGACATTTCAGGCTCTTCTTTCACAAAGAGAACCAAGCATTAATTTCATCAATTATGCATTTCATAAGTGTACCTTTCCTTTTCAATAGATTTCAAGACATATGTACATCCCCCTCGATAAGAGATCAAAATGGAGAAAGTAAACAGCGTTCACAGGAGACCACGCCTGTCATATGCTCCAGCAGTAGTCTTGAGACGAAAAGTAGCCACCGTATAGTGCAGAATATGTGATTGTGAAAATGAAATGTTCTAAACCATGATAGGACTTTGTGGCAAAAGTTTGGGAAGTAGTAATCAAAGGAACAATTGAAAATTTTACAGAATAATACACAAGGCCAAAGGAATATAGAATCATTCAAAATTTTCAGATCGCCAAAGGAAGCAGTGAAAAAAAAATCAAAATTTACAATCCAATATGTTTAAAATAGAAAAAAATTTGTAGGTTCTTTGACAAAGATCCATAAGTAGAAAATAGCTATAATTGTCAAGCAGAAAAAAGAAAAATCCTAAAACTTTGTAAAAACACTCGGGAGGCAACTATGTTGCTTGATAAACTTTCAAAGAGCATGATAACACAGTTTATCTAACCTTAAAGGCTGAAATTTTTGAAAAGCATAAATACTCTTTATTCAAAAACAGTTGGATGATTATTCAAAAATAAAAAACAGTTGGATGAGAAAAAAAAAAGTGAACAAAGAATTTTAAAGACCTATGATCAGATAGCAAGCCTCCACGAGGCACAGGAAATTACCCGCCACATGAAGCAAAAATGGAATAGCAAATAGGTGAAGATCCCCCTGGTCAAAGAACCCAACATTAACTACTTTCAGTTAAGAAAACCACGTGAATTTCTACACATGTTACACTTGCTGAAGAAACCCTAAAATACAGTAATTCTGGAAATTATACAAAGAAGGAAGATCAAATGATATAGTATAATAACGACCAAATGATCAAGAATCCTTAAACTAGTAAGTATAGTATAATAACAACCAAATGATCAAGAATCAGAAGCTCCACATAGTCCACAACAACGCTGAAATGAATAGTGTCATTACAATGAGTACCATCCTCATTATACCATCTCCCAACGCTCACTAACAAGGCACCTGCCTATGGTAGGCTCGGTAGCAGAGTAAGGAAAGGCGGATGTCTACACCATTATCCATACACCTTCTGACCTTCATCATAATCTTATATGATTTATCTTCTCCACAATAAGGACTACATAAACAGAATTCAGCCCCACTCCAAATTGTTGAGCACCATAAACATAAAATGTGTAGGGTAGACAACCTCAATCATAAGAACCAATCCTAGTCTGGATTACTTGAAGGTTTCACTCGATAACACGATTTACACAGCTAACAACACGCTAAACTTTTGCATTCATTCCAATCCTTAATTCCTTATGGTCCTACAACTGATAAGAAATTATGCCAACAACATTTTACATTCACTAATCATTACACCGAAACCGAACATCAGTCTAATCAAATCACCATCTCACAATCATCAAACACACAATCATCCTTCTCTCAGCATCAAACTCCATACAATCATCACAAAAATTCATTCACCGCAAATCAAATATAATCCAATCAACAAATCCAATCATTCAACAATCCATAGAACAATTCTACACATATACAAAAATAATCAAATTATACCGGCACTGCAGGAAGTCGGAGGATCTTTTTGCAGATCCTTGAGCTCCTTCAAAATTCTCTTCGACGCCATCCCCTTAAAACCTAAAAAAATCAAAACAATTCATCAGATCAGCTCAGATCTTCAAGATCTAACAAAATTCATCAAAAAAAACTTCAAAAAAACCCTAAATTAAGCTAAAAATATTAAAATTCAAAATAAAATCAAAGATGATCATACCTCAGAGAAGAAGAGATAAAATTGTCTATCTGTTTCTCTAATCTCTGACTGAAATTCGCGCAAAATTGAAGAACACTGCTAAGAATTCGTTGATTCTGCGAAGGAAAAAGGGGATGAAAGGTTTCCGATTTCCGCCGGAAGGAGGGAGGAAAAAGAAAGGGTTAAATGAGTTGGATTGCTAAACATCGCCCGCAAATCTCCACATAAAGCCCACAAATCTATATTGAATTTACCTTATTGCCCTAAACCTAAAATAAAAAAATCTAACCCATACCCACACTCTAATCACCCGAAAATACGGCAATGTTGAGGCGGCAAGGCAAGGACTTGGCGGCCACAGCGGCGGAGGGAAGGACGGCTCACGGTGGCAGGGTTTTTTTTTAAAAAAATTTTAAAAAAAAAACCAAAAGAGGTGGGGCGCCTGGCCAGGACGCCCAGCCCCTGGTGGTGGCGTCTGCTCCGACCGCCGGAACCAGGGGGCTGGCGTCTGACCTGGACGCCTAGCCACGGTTGTGGCGTTTTCCAGAGGCGCCACCGCGGTGGCTGGGCGTCCAGGTCAGACGCCAGCCCCCTGGTCCCGGCGGCCGGAGCAGACGCCACCACCAGGGGCTGGGCGTCCTGGCCAGGCGCCCTACCATTTTTTTTTTTTTTTTTTGTCTAATATTTTTTTTTTGGAAAATCAGAATTCTTTTGTTAATGTTTAATATTTTTGTTTTATGTGTTAATGTTTTTATTTCTAATGTATATATTTTTTTTTTAAATCAGAATTTTTTGTGTTAATGTTTAATTAAAAAAAACAAAAACTTTAAATAAAATTTAAAAAAAATTACAAAAAGTTTAAATAAAATTACAAAAAAAAAGAAAAAAAAATAAATAAAAAAATAACAAATTACAAAAAAAAAAAAAAATTACAAAAAGTAGGGGTGGCGTCTGGCCAGGACGCCACAGCCATGGTGGTGGCGTCCTGACCAGACGCCACCCCTACTTTTCGTAATTTTTCCCCCGGATTATATCGCTTTCCGGCGACGATGACGGCTCTTCGGTGTCCCTCGGCGATCCACTCCAGCTCCACATTCTTCGTGAGAGTGAATTACGGTTTCGGTAAAAATTAGAAAAAGGGCAAAAGAGTCAAAGTAAAAATATTTGTGGGCTTTATGTGGAGATTTGCGGGCGACGTTTAACAAATCCCTAATAAGAGGGATTCTTTCTTTAAATTGGGGGAATTCTTTTTTCTTTTTTTTTTAAAAAAAAATCTCTCTCTCTTCTTTTTCTTTTTTTTTGTTTATTTATTTATTTATTTGGGAGGTAACGTAATGCCGTAAACTGCAGCTGTGTGCAGTTGTGCAAGTGTGTGTTTGTGGGTTGTGGCTTTTGCTTATTGGTTCTTCGTATACTCGGCCCTGCCGTCTTGGGTGTTCTCCATTATTGCTATTTTAATGTCGTTTCCGTTGTCGTATTTTTAAAGATGGCACTAGGTCGAGTTAGGCGTGTGTATGATAGCATGGCCCACTAGATAGGTGTAGTGAATTGATTTTTAAAAGGATGGCATAAGCTTCTTTTGTTAGGTAGTGTCATATCATGTTGTGTCGTATAATGTCATATCTACTTATTTTCATTGTGTTTGATCATAATTATAACAAACATGATGCAAATATAATATGACTCGGGATATCTTGTCTCAATTCAACCTAATAAACATTTATGTGCAATGTGGGGATTATATTCACTTTTCTAGTCAAAATAACACTATAATTGTTATTTTTTTAGGTTTTTTCATGGCTTGTGTTAGCCTACTAACCTAATGTCATTGTTAGTCATCTACTTTCACTTTATATTTTAGTAAATTCATAACAAATACAAACTTGTAAATAATTATAAATCATCCAATAAGTTTAAGTAATGTGGTTTAAATTAGTAAAAAAAAAATAATCAATTAATCAATACCAAATAAATTTAGCTACGAAAATGTTTGGCAAAGTGATACTTACATATGTGAAAGTATAATACAAAGTACAATTTAATAGCCACATTTGTGATTTGTGAAAAATAAAAATTTTACCGGGTTAGTGTAATAGAGTGTTCATCCCCTTGAATGAGAATGAATTGAAATTGAATGGCGTTGATTTTTTCAATGAAGTTTATCTCTAATTTCTTGTAAAATGTACTTTAAGAAACATGTCAATGTTCATTTTTCTTAAAAGAAGAGATTCCCATAAGTGAAAATATTGCTCCCCACGATTGTTAATGTACAAACCCACTCGTTATGAATAGATTTATTGGAGTGCTTTCTATTTAAGTTTGTCTTTTATGCATAGTTATGAAAATTTCCCAAACAATTGTTACTTATTCTCAAATTTGATTGAGACTTGTCCAATATTAGGGAGACATTTGTCATTGTTACTAATTGTTGAGTCATTTCGATAAGAGTATGAGCAAATGCATCAATGAAATGCAATCAACAAAAAAGCTAATGACCAAAAATATAGAAGGTGAAGGGAATACACTATAACCTAATCATGCCTCCATCCATATATATATATTGTACTTAAATTAGGGAAATTCATGCAAATAAGACCTAAATGTCACGAATTATTAAGACATAGAAAAGGGTATACACAATACACTTATTAACGTTATACATAACATGACTACGTGTTTATACTTTAAGAGATTAGACAAGTACTTTATTTAATTAAGTAATTGATAGAGTATATAAAATCGATTTTAGACTTCAACTATCAGTTTAAGCTTTTGATTAAAATGATCCTTTAACATGATATCAGATTAAGCCTAACAAAGAGGTCACAAGTCCAATTCTTTATTTTTTTAGTGCTAACTAGATTATTAGTGCCTGTGCGATGTATGATAATAATAATCATTTTCCTATAATTAATTGTGAAATAATATAAAAATGAGGCAACTCATGTGGATTAAACAAATGCAATGCATATAGAAAAATAGAATAATAACGCAAAAATTATTAAAACTACAATTGAGAAAAAAAATATTGTTGATTAGTTGTGTTGAAAATATTTAAAAGTAGTATACATTATATTACATTAGTGATGCATATTATTCCCAATAAAACTATATTATATAGTGACTATCTGACTAAAGACTTATTTATAAATGCCTTTTAATAAATATGAAAATATTAATCAAACAACATAATAAAATCTTCAGTAAAACTATTAGCATAACATACATGTAAATATATAAATTACAAATAATGTGTCACCTTTATATCCAATAAAATAATTTCAATGGAAATAAATTGTACTCGTATCATTAAAATAATCAACAATTAGGTCACAATAACCTATATTATTAATAGTACATTTTATGTTTATGAATTGATGCTCTACATGATATCGTCGCTTTTTGTTTTTATTATATAAAAATGTGTTTGAATATCCAATAATTGTAGTTTAATCGTTGTTTGTTTACCTTAAAAGTTTAATTGTAGATGATAGTTATTTATTGAAATAAATGACACACAAGAAAATGTCACTTATCAATATGTTCGATGTGTCTTGTACTATGCATTTTATTTAAAATGTCGAATGTAATAAATTTATTATCTCAATAACATGTTTCAGCAAAAGACAATTTTTTATTTATTTACTAAGATAGAAATTTTATTTAATTACGTAATAACAAAAAATTGATTGATATTTCACATTTTTCTAGAATTAGACATATGATATAATTGTTGATCATATATAATACTCTATTAGTCTAAGAAACAAAATATTAGAGGTATTTGAAGAAAAAAAAAATTAAAGTGATGTTTAAAAGTAATATCTTTAATATCAATTATATGAATCAATTTTATTATTACTTTTAGGGCAAAATTTCAATAATACTTCGGCTAAAAAATGTCTAGGCGGTAATGATAGTATCTTGTACCTAAACCAGTGGCTCACTTTTTCTATAAGAAAAAAAGAGTTAGAATAATATTTTAGGTAAATGTGTATGAAAGAATTAAGAACATGAATTAAAAAAAAAAATACATTTTATGTAAAGATAATATATAAGATTTGGAATATATTATATTTGTATTATACAAATTTTCCAAAAATAAAAGTTATTTTGCTAAAAGGGGAAGGGGAGTTTTGGAGGAAAAAAACAGCACCAGGATGTGACGTGTGTCATTTGTTGTGTTTTAATATGATGTTATTGATTGTATGTACACATTTTCCAAAAATAAAAGATTTTTTTGCTAAAAGGGAAGGGGGAGTTTTGGAGGAAAAAAACAGCACCTGAAAATGACACGTGTCATTCATAGTGTCTGTTTTAGTATTATGTTATTGATTATTGATTGTATTATATAAATTTTTCAAAAATAAAAGATTTTTTTGCTAAAAGAGGAGGGGGAGTTTTGAAGGAAAAAAACAGTACTAGAAAGTGACATGTGTCATTCCTGATGTCTGTTTTAATATTATGTTAAAAGAGGAGGGGGAGTTTGTTCTCCTCGTGAGAAATGTATCCTAAATTCGTAATTAATAAAAAAAAAGTTATCAACTAAACATCTAGCGGGGCCCTGACCCAGGCAGTTGCGCATTGAGGTCATCAAAACCCAGTGGCGCATTCCCTTTTTCATCTTACGATTCAACCAACCCCTTGAATCGCCGGCGACTCTGATAAAATGGAGCGCCACAGCAACCGATACAGTAGCCGCCGAGTCCAGCTCAACGATTCCAAGCCTCGTTTCGACGCCGAGCCTCAGCCGTCCGCTGAAAATTCGTCGGAAAATCTGGAGCCGTTTATGGGTGTTAAAGCTCGAAGGTTGGCTTCCTTTCACAGGGATTATAGAGGGGATTATCTTGATGTTTCTTCTAATCCTTACATTTTGAAGATCCTCGATAAACAAGGTAATTCTAATTTATGTACACCCCCTTTTTTTTAATTTTCTCTTGATTTTATTTTCTGGGATTATGTTTTTAGGGTTTGTTTATAGTTTTTCTTGTGTAATTTAACGAAGGAAATTCATTTCTATGGATTATTAAGCATGATTCAGCATTGATAGCTCCGATTGACGCGTGATTTTGTCAAGCATTTCTAAATTGAGACATTTCGGAGTATTAGGAAAATGTTAAATGGTTATTTACTGTAAGTTTGATGTGGAAGGCTGTTGTTGGAATTTTAATGCTATGTAACTCCATAATTGAGAGGGTGTAAAGTTGAATGCTAGGGTTAGGTAGGTTGAAGTTGAAGGTTGATCTGATTCAAGAGCTGGTGTAAATGAGCTGTTGTGATGATTTGACTCTGAAATTAAATTTACTGTGATGAATTATTGAGCTGGGTATTGTGTTTTTTGTATTGCTTGTTCAATCTTAAATTGAAATGTCAGATGCTATTGAAATGATAAGTTTAGTTGCTAAAGGTTTCAAGTACAGAGTATATGCAATTATAGAGGTTACACTGATAATGAGGTTTTGGAGTAAGTTATAAATTTGATTGGGTGTTCCATGCTTTACTTAGGATCCTTTTGTTGTTATACAAGTGCGGGATTTAGGAAGAGTGATCGCACTTGCACCACAAGTGCTAGTTTTGCTTTTGTTTGGTGCCTTGACTTTTAGAAAGCATTTTGAATATATCTTACAAATGATGGTTTTATTTGCTTCGCGTCATGTTTAGGTCTATGTTAGGTGTTTTATTTGCTTCGCGTTATGTTTAGGTCGATGTTAGGCTTATAATGCTTAGCTGTAGCATTAACTGAGATTTGAGCATGAAGGATCTCTTTTTGGTACATCTATGCCTACGTTCTACGTGTTTATCTTACTACGATGAATAGTGAATACTTTTTGTGTTTTTTCCCCTTATGGTTTCTGATCGGTGTTACATCATTACTATCTCTCATTGCTGGCTCTGGGGAGGTCAAATTTTACATAATAATTGACAGATAAAATGTGGTTTTTGACATTAAAGTGGTGGGAATTTAATTGTGATTGTTCATGTGGGATGAATAAGTTGATATTTATTCTTTTCTCTCTTATATTAAAGATTTAGAACAATTTGTTGTGCTACTCCAGTGTAGCTACCTACTGTACCTAGCACTTGGTAGTTGGTACGTGTCAGGTAGATTTATCACAGTTATAAATCCAAGTTTGCATGCATTGTCTTTTAAGCAGACTAGATAAGTAAGTTATATTGTTAGGAATCAGTATAACAATTAACAAGACTGGTTTAAGTCTGATTCAGACATTGATTACCAATTGTATAGTGGTTTCCATAAAATTTATTGGGCCTGTGTGATGACATAGACATGTATGTACTATATAGAAATATTTGAGCACTAGTTGTCTAGTTGGTTAAGATTATCTGGAGAAAATTAATGCTTAGGTTTTAGATTTTCTGGTGTTGATGCTCTTTAGTCTTGCCTTATTCTAGGTGGAGATAGACTTTAGGTGATATCTTGAACCGCTCATTGAAAGATAAGATTGCGAGAATGACATTGGAACAAATATTAGATAGTCTTACCCTTGTAAATAAATTTTTCTGTTGGATTAATTTTGTGTCGATTTGTGCTGTCCTAGTTTGTCTACATAGTTGCAAAAATTGGCAGCCTCTCAGTTTTGTTAAGCCGTTTCAAACGTACCGACGTGTACAAGAATCGGTTCTCAAGTTCACATCGTTAAACTAACATGTTATTTCAGTTGTGAATTTTCTACTTCTGATTTCATAGAATTTATGTATTAAAAAGGCCATTATGTATTGATTAGATGCACAATTAATGTATTGTTCTGTTGACTTACCATTACCTTGTAATCTTTGTTAGGCATAAGAAATGCCCAATTGCGCGTGCTATTTTAGTTACGCTCATTGAAAAAGTTTGATTAGAATTGTGGATGTATAAATGAGGCTAGAAGAATTTCAGTATCATGATCAATTTCTAAGGATTAATATACTGTATACAAAAATCTACTAAAGTCCTAGAACTGTTTTGTTACCATGTCTATGAGAGTATAAATTTCACATAATTTAAAGTGCAGTATGGAGGTTGAAAATATTTAGTTCATTATGGTGGATGTTGTGAATCATTTATATTCTGGAACTACTGCCATGTTAAAAATTTTACCAGGAAGGAAATTTTTTTTGGAGAATACATATTACGAGTATTTGGAAGTGATTACGAATTAGAGTGTCATTTTGAGATCTTGACGAGCTGTATGCTTTCATAGTTTCTCACTCCGTGCTTGGAATGAGGACTTGTCAAGTTTCGTTGACTGGATATTAAAAACAATTTGGTTTGCTTCTCTGTTTCATAGGTGACAGGCAAGTTCTTTTTGCTGATAAAGTTTTGAAGTTCACTAGTACTGGGAAGATGAAGAGGCGCATCTTGATAGTGACAGACTTCGCTCTCTATGTGATTGATCCTGAGAGTTATTCACTTAAACGGCGGATTACCCTCTCAGCGGTAGAGAAGCTGTATCTAAGTAAATTGTCTGATAATTTCTTCGCAATTGTCATTCCGACAGAGTATGATGTCCTGATGGCGAGCACTAGAAAGACTGAAATTGTTACTGTCTTGGTGGATGCTGCAAAGAATACATCTAACTTTGAGATTGATGTGATTTTCAAGAACAGGTAATTTTTCTCATCTCGGTATGGCTCAAAATTATATACCCAGTTCCTGCAATTTACTACGTAATTTTTATTATATTGTGCCCTAATTCGTGATTTTAGATCCGCCTCTTTTTTGATGATATTTGGCTAATGCTAAATGAAGTTCAAATCTCAATGGATTATGTTTATACGTAGTATGATCATTCTGTATACTAAGTACTTTTAAATTGTGGTGCTTCTCAATCACCTTAACCCGTCATTTGAAAATTCTTCCTTTCGTTTTTCATCTTGTATGTGTGTAAGCTTCAACATTTATGTGAAAGTGCGGACATAGGCTCTCAGTCAAATAGATCTCTTATTTTCTGCATAAGTAGCAGCTTCCTTAGGACTTCTCAAAGTTCCACCTATCACGGAGCCTTTCAGCTTTGAAATTTCACCGAATCACATCTTACTGTTAGCAATCGAATTTTATGATTATTAAACAATTCTGATTTGTGTCTCCCAAATGATGAGCTGCTTTTAAGATTATTTTGAGATGCTGTTTGAAGGAATATTGTCAGGATGACTGCTGGCGTTTATTGCTCTATTAGGGTGAAGATGCATTGCCAGCTAGGTAGGTGTAAGGTTTGAATATTGGGGGCAGGTTTATGATTGTGGAAAGACTTCTTTAAAAAGAATTCTTGGGGAAAAGAAGCGAGAAGATTGGCTCATGCCCTGTTTTTTTCAATTGATTTTCGTCTAGCTGAACTAATTTTTAATAAACAAAAGTATTTTTTGCTGATATACTAATGTAGTGATGTTTTTGTTTTATGTGGCTACTAATTTTATTGATCAAAACTGATAAATAACAACTTATTTGTGCATTACTTAGTGTCATAATCAGTTCATGTTATTGCCAATTATATATTTCATTAATTCATCATATTTGATATTGTTTAGATTGTTAATCCTGCTATCTTTCCTCCTATAGATTCCAGTATAACCCAGCTGCTGATTTGGTGAAGGAAGTCCATTTCGAGGAAGTTGAAGGTTTATCTTGCTTCCCCTTGTATCTATATATTTATGAAATCTCTCATTTACAGGAAAATGCCCCATATACAATTTGGTTCATCTAATTAAATGTACTGTCTCTCTGTGTGTGTATACTTAGGTGGTGTAAAGACGCAAATTTTACGCAAGCCCGAGGAAGATTAGTTTGGCTTACTAAGAGTTGAGATTTTTTAGTGTTGCGGATACATTGCTGTATGATGACGGATGTCCCTGGGTTTGCTGGCAGGCTCTGCATCATGTATCCAGGTCCTCGATACTAAAACCTTAATGCTACGTAACGTGTAATCATGTACATCATTCTTTGTATTGTTTTTATAATTTTTAATCTCATGTTTGTTCTTACGGAAATTTTAGATGATCCAAATGTGTAAATGTACTCCAAAATCCATCATAATAATAATATTAAGGTCGGTTTCCAATATTTAAGAGGGTGTCCTCAGGTGGTGGTAGTCTATTGCAAAATTTGATCTGGTTTTGGGTAGTGAGCATATAATAATGAAGCTCACATGCGACCCAGTATTCAAAGGTGAAAACCCATCAATGAAAAATCTTGATATTAGTAACATTTGGAAGTAATGAATACCAAAAATTGCTGTCAAATCCGACCCTTAGCTAAGAGAATTGAATGTTTTGATTTACTCGTGTTAGTTATAAATACTATGTGCCTATGTGTACTCAACATGTGTGTTAGTATCCAAGTATTCAAAACTTAAAATTCTTTTTTGAAAGAAATTATCTGTGTTACCTATGTATTTTAAAATATTGCGAGTCATTCATGTTATGCGAAATGATGTTGAAAATAAAGAATATGATTGTTTAGCTGTTAAATTTTCAGCTCGAAACTTTAAGGGGATGTTTGGCTCATTAATTGATATAAGCTTCCTAGGAATGAAACCAGGGTGTTATGGGTATAGAACTTGCTTAATACCATGTGCTTGGATGCTTGGTTCCATTTGGAAATGAAATGAGCCATACCCACCCCTCATGTGAGGTTCTAAACCACATACTTCTTAGGTTGAAGTATGAGTTTAGAAATTGAAAATTTCTTAAACAATCAATAGGCATGATCGTATGAGTTTTAGCAACACCTTATATATACACCCGGGTGCATATAAAGGTAGGTGTACCTAAGGTGGATTTTTGCTCATTTAATATACAGAGTAATGTTTATTTTTTTTGTTTTTTTTTTGTTTTTCCTAAGATTTTAATGACCAAAAATTATTAAATGGGTAGAAAATACTCTTAGGTGCACCTTGTACCATATCTTTAATAGTACTAATTTTATACCAGTACTATATATTTTTTGTGAGAACTAAACACCCCCCCGATGATTTTGTATAAAATTTCTGTTTTCAAGTTTTTTTTTTTCCTCATAAAATGTGCTGTGGAGACGATCAAAGTGTTCTGACATGTTCTCTAAAGTGGGGTTCATACTCCTGATCCAAGACACATGATTATATAGTTAAAGAATCCTTGCTTTTCCAGCCAAAAGAATGTTCAAGTTAATCAAGTTGACGACGAATGGTTTTTCTTCCTTTTTTTTTTTTTTTTTTTAATCTCTCTTTTTATGAAGTCAATCAAATTAGGCAAGCAGGGAACTTATATCAAAAGAATTATTCAACTTACATACAAGGTGTTTGAAACTGATCTAGTTTTGAGGGTAGTATCCAAGATTTAGGATCAAATTTTGTCTACGTCACTGCTCGTTGTGCATTTCTACAAGTTAAATAAAAAACACGTGTGTTTAGACTTTTGAAACCTTTGGTGGCGGTTGTCCTTATCAGCATAACTAATTTAGCAATACTGTTTCTAAATATTTCTTTTAAGCATCAAAATCTTAAACTTGAAGCCGCAAAAAGATCCAAAACCAGGAAAGAAGGTAGCTATATAATTGACTTGGGCCGTTTACATTTTGCTAAGAATCTTGGAGGGAAATAATGCTCTTAGCTAACAATTGGCTGGCTTTGGTCGGTAAACTACTTTCATCCCACTTTCTCCTTAAAAAAATAGAGAGTAAATAATGGACATAATAATAATCTAGACCATGTGCCTCAATTTGTAAGCAAAAATTATGATTTCCAAAAAAGAAAAATCCACAAATATTTGTAACAACTAAATTTAATTACTAACACAAGCAATCTTATTGTGGGGTTACATAGGTAGATGATCCTGTTTCTCCTGTATGTGAAAGGCCTGTTGGTGTTGGAGTTGAAACTTCTGATGATGGGTGGGTGTCGGTGCTTTCTCGCCGTATGTCCTCCACCATTTTGACAACATCCGACATCTTTGGCCGTTTCTCCGGGACTCTCTCAGTGCAAGCCATACCTAGTTGTAGCATTGTCACCATCTCTTCCTCTATGTTAGGAAATTTTAATAGCTCTACATCAAACACTTCTGCTGTCCACTCTTCTCTAACCACAGAATACACCCATTTTACTAGGTGTGTACCTTCTCCTAGGGGAGTTTTTCCTGTGAGGAGTTCTAGTATCAGGACTCCGAAGCTATAGACATCGGACAATTGAGTTGCTTTCCGAGAATCTGTGATTTCTGGAGCCCGGTACCCTATAATTCGTTGGATTGGTGGGACTGTGGGTGTGACTATGGTTGCTAAACCAAGGTCCGATACACAACCATAGTTTTGAGAGTTGAGGAAAATGTTTGAGGACTTTATGTTTCCATGGACTAGTTTTCCACCATTTTGAGAATGGATGTGAGCAAGGCCTCTTGCTGCACCTATGGCGATTTTTAGCCGGGTTTCCCAATCCAATGGCAATCGATTTTCTTTTTTCCCTGCAATATATATTAAGAACTTCCTTATATAAACAACCCTTTAAATTCAATGAAAACAAAACAATATACAAAATCACATACCATGTAACATTGTTGATAAGCTGCCATGTCTGAAATAATCATAAACCATGAGGTTCTCATCTTTGGAATAATAGTATGCCCTGAGAGCAGCCACATTCTCATGCTTAATATTACCAACAATCTCCATCTGCTGCTCGTACTCTCGCTTTCCCACACTCACTTCCTTGAGCCTCTTCACTACCACGGTGTTAGAATCCTCTAGGGCGGCCTTGTACGTTGTTCCAAACATGCCTTTGCCGAGAACCTCTGCTGAAGCCCTGAAAAGATCCTCCAAGTCAAATGCCATGTTAGAGCCTTCAAAAAATGTGATCCTCGCGTTCTTCTCTTCTCGGCTTTCTGTAGGCAACCTTTTCTTCTTTGAGTAGAATTTCTCCATCTTTTGTGCCTCTGCATCATTGTCTTGCTGCTTGCTTTTTTTGCTCGACCACAAAACAATCATGCAAACTGCAATCATAACAAACAAGACTGCAGCACCACCAATGATTATTCCCAACAATGCTGTCTCACTGATCTTCTTGGCCTTGTGAACTGAACTGTCAGGCGGAGCAGATGATGGTATCGGAGGAATAGCAACCACCCTCGAGGTAATATTATTGCCCGAAAATGATGAGCTCGGAAATCTCAGAAGAGAATTAGGAATACTCCCATTCAAATGGTTGTTGGAAAAGTTGAGAAACCTCAAACTTGGGATCCCCAAATCAGGAATTTGACCAGAATATGAGTTGCTTGAAAGATCAAGAGTTGTAAGCTGGGTTAAATTCGAGAGCGAAAGAGGAATACTTCCATTGAAGTTATTATTGGATAAATTTAGTACCACAAGATTATGCCAAGCAGATAAATTCAAAGGTAGGGGACCAGAAAACCTGTTGGACTGTAGGTACAAAGAAGTCAAGTTACTCAACCTAGAAAAATCAGATGGAAAAACACCTGAAATCCCATTGTTTCTAAGGCTAAGTGTTTGAAGGAAAGAAAGACGGCTAAGAGTGTTAGGAGGTATAGAGCCTCGGATTCCGACCCCCGGTAGTCTGAGAGCAATAACCCCCGTTTGACGATCATCACAAGTCACACCAGTCCAACTAGTGCACAAGGGAGTGTTCTGATCCCAGTTCAGATACCGCAAATGCGAAGTATTTTGTAGGAAATCAAGCAAGGCTTGCTTGTCTTCCCATGGCTCGCTATAAACATGTAACGAACACAACCCAAAGAAGATGACTGATCTGAACAAGAATCCATATTTGCCCATTCTTTTTCTTCTGAAATGAAGAATCCAGGAAACAGATTTTTCTACACTAATTACTGGTTCTGACAATCTGGGTCATAATCTGGTAAAATATAAGGATGATGTAAGTATAAATACATCAGTACTCAGAAGGACAGACATATATAGTTATTATAAGTTGAATGCATTTAATTGTAAAACGTTAGGAGTAATAATTTCAACGGTCATTTTTGTCTGCAAGTATTAAGAGCAATATTAAGAAAATTCAGTTACGGAATTACTACTAATACTGCTAGTACATTTTTTTCTTAAGTTAGGTGATTTTTTTGGTTTTTCAGGAAATATGTACCTAATTTAGGCTAGAAACTTGTTGCTTGTACACAAAAAAGTTCCACTCTTTTTGCTGAAAAATGGCAAAAAAAAGTATTCCTTTTTTCCCGGGTAACAAACACAGAATTTCCCACTAGTCTAGGGTCGGGACCTCAAATTTTTTGGTCTACAACACTACCCGCTTGGCTCTGTATACACCAACCAAACAAAGAAAGGAGAGGGAAAGAGAGGTAAACTTACTTATTGATGATCAGATAACAAGAAGACTGATAAAGGCAGAACATCCATATTTGTAATTCTGTTTCTTTTTTTTTTTTTTTTTTTCCTGTCTTGTGAAAATTCAACTGCAGGAAAAAAGTAGTTGAAGTTGAGTGAGAAGACAAAAGTAAAACAACGAAGTTGCAAACTTTTTACACTTTCAGAAAGTGGGTTTGTACCAGATGTTCATAATCTGCAACAAAATCAACAATGAGTCTGACTTAATTCTCTGAATTCAATCCCCCAAAACAAAAAAAAAAAAAAAAAAAAAAAAACAGAGAATGATGAGAGAGAAAGAAAATGATGAGAGAGAAACAAGAGCATGTGAAATGTTTATTGCTTACAAAAGGGTAAGTCATGAATAGAGAGAGAGGTCAGCCAATAGAAAATTAATTATTACAAATTGATGATCATTAAAGGAAACTTAAATAATGAAATTAATTAATTGATTAATTAAGATGGTAATGACATTAAATTTTAGTGAATATAATATGGGTTTGGTACTTTGGTTGTGTAAGTTCATGAAACTATAATTATTATGATTAATTTAAATAATGTTGTGAGAAATATATGTGCGTAGGAAGGGGGAGATGCATGTGGGGACAAAATTGAGACAACTAAGTAAATTGGAAATCCTTGTTTGCTAACCTCTTTTCTTGCTTTCTTCAACATGACCATTGCATTTACTCCATTGTTTGGTCTTACAACTTAAATTCCTTTTATTATTGGAATTATAAACTAGAAATTTATAATGTTATTACTTTGATAATTAAAATAGCTTCCATGTGAGCACCCTCGTCTTCCTTTTTTCTCAACTTATAGTAATTGTCTCTGTCATGTACGAGTATTCATACATTGAGTGTACGATATTTTATCCGTATTATGCATTGTCTTTATTATAATTATTATATACGGGTATTCTTTTGTTAGCAAGTCATACATTGAGTGTACAATAATAATTACTCTGTACTTTAATTTGTATCATGCACTATGCATAAATTACTCTTAAAAATCAATTGAAAGTTTTGTTATAGGGTTAATCACTAAACTCTTGTGGCACTAATCCCATACACATCTTTATAGTTGAGGTATTGTGGTAGTTATTTGACCATAATCTTGCATTTGTCGAAATGAAAGAAGGTTAAACAACCATTCTTTTGTTAGCTACTAGTCATAATGCATTGAGTGTACACTAATAGAAACACCATATTATGCACTATGCATAGAAATATAGAATTACTCTTGAGAATCAAGTGGAAAATACAAAAACTAGGGTAAAACACAAAAACCTTGTGGCACATACTAGCCCAACACCTCCGTCTTTTATAGTTGAGGTATTGTGGTGTTTATATTACCACAATTCTTGCATCAATCTAAATGGATGAGGTTTTCATTTTTTTTTTTTTACACAATGATAAGATATGAAAGGTTGATAAATAACGTAAAATTTTATCAAACTTACTCTAACATTATCACTCTAACTTTGCCACCATTACCACACTTTGATTAAAGAGAGGATCTCCCATTTGACCGCAAACTTATTGATAGACAACCAATATAACACAAATGGGTTGTTGGATATCCCTATTTTATATTTATTTGGTAACGTGGTGATCGGATCTTGGACCTTCAATAACTATCCAAATTAATTACCAATAAAGCTTTCATATTTTTATTATGTCCACCTACCTTATTATCTAAAATTAATGTAAATATACGTAGCATATGAAATAATAATGAAAATGCCTTAATATAATTACAAAAGTCCACTTCATTCACCAAAGTCCTTTTCAATGGTTTAAATTTACTACGAGGTATATTGGTGATAAGTCCACGTTAAGAAAAGTTGCAAATTAATTGTAGTTAAAACATTGATTATATTGAATGGTTGGCCAAAGTAGAGAGTGAGTGGGATGAAAGTGATCTACATGCAAGCAAAGATGGATTAGAGAGGGCTCATGTGTGGATCACTACTTAATTTTACGGTAATTATGCATTAGTTGTATTAGTGTAAGCGACAACAAGATATTCTATTTCTGTGGAAGATTCGGATATAGTTATTTAATTTTATTTTTTTTCATACTTCTTATTATGTAAGTATATCATACAACGTATCAATGGTGGAGATGGTAATTAATGTCGAGAAACTTGATCCGTTAACTATACGGAGTAATAATTGTTGCATGCCTTTGATAATGGTGGTCAACTGGTCTAAGATGGGTATTTTACTATTTATACATTGGCGGATCTATAAGGACTTGAAGGGGAGCGCTTGCATCCCCCTTTTGCAAAATATTTATGAAATTCAAGGTAAGTTAAAAAAGAATCTTTTTATATAGAAGTTTTTGCTCTCCCATTTTAAGTAAATTGATTCCTAAAAGATAAAATCAGACAATAGAAATTCTTAAGTTCTAAAAAATCATACATTTTCTCCATATAAAATGGTTAATGATATGTTATCTCCGTTTTTTTTACACATATCTCCGTTTTTTAAATATTTGCAATGTTTGCACTTTATACACTATTCACACTTTTTTTTTTGTTGGAAGGATATTCACACACTCTTCTGTAACAACATATTGTGATTATTTTTAGGTCAAACTTTAAAAACTTTGACCATAAATTATTGTTAATCTATAAAAGATAATATAGTAAAGAAAAATAGTCACTTTATATTTTGTTAGACTCGTCTTAATTACTGTTACTATTATTGTTATTATTATTGTATAATTAGAGTTTTTTAAGGGTTAAATTGTGCTTTGAGAAGCGTAATTACCCCCATGTTGTAGTGTTAAATGAACGGAGGATGTATATTGAGTTACATGCTAAATGTGAATTAAAAATTAAGAAAACCACATAACATTGAAACATTAATATTAATCGACGTGATCCATATCTATTTGGGTTATATAATTTAAAAAAAATTTGAACCCCATTTTGAAATTTTTGAATCCGCCACTGTATTTATACTGTCTTTCAAATGTTTGAATGACAGAGTGTGACAACTTGTAAGATCTGATCTCATCCAATAAGCCTAAATTGATCTTTTAAACAAGTTGGCATACGTAGTATGTTGGGATGGTCAGACTTTATTGTCCCCCCGTCTAGATTTAGTCCATATTACAGTTCTTGTGATGTTAGAGTCTTACTTATACCACTTTTCGATATAGTAAGTTAGTAACCCATATAACACGTGTGATAATTCTGATAATAGTTTACATACTATTTAAAAATTATTATGAACAAGTGAGCAACATAGATGATCGAATTGTAGTTTCTGATATTGAAAATTTTGATGAAATACTAATTAGAAGACTGTGCCATACACATAACAACCAACATGCAAGGATGATGGAGGTACGAGTTTAATAACCAAATTTGTCGTTAGCATTGCAATTATTCAATGACGATTAACAAATAAATAATTTATCATCAAAACCCGCAACCCTCTACCACTTATTTACGTTATTCCTAGCCACAAAACTTTAAAATTTGCATCTTATATTAATATAAACATGCAATAAATCTGATTAATTTCAGGACGACTTTGAAATTAATTAATTTATATATTTAAGCTTCGGTTGTAACTAATGTTAGTAGTAATGAACTGTAAAATCTTCAATTGTACGCTAAAGTCACGGAACATTTTTTATGCTTATAACGAGTCAACGCGTAAAGTTTTTACTGTTTTTACCCACTGGCTGATAATAACTGCTACGCTTTTGTTTTATGTGATCAGAAAATAATTTATATAAATATAATTGAACAAAGGTATCAACAAAATCAGAGTGGCGCAGCGGAAGCGTGGTGGGCCCATAACCCACAGGTCCCAGGATCGAAACCTGGCTCTGATATTCTAGAGAAAAGCTTCCAACGCCCAAAATTTTTGTTTTTTTTTTCTCCCACTTAAATAAATCAAAATTTCTAGCACTTATTAATTTGAAATTCTAAACAGTAATATAATTTAAATTAAAAAGCATTATCTAAAGGAAATCAAGACTAATAAGTGTTAATCATCTATTTAAAATAATTTAATTCAATACACATTAGGTGATGAAAAGACTTCATGACATTATAGACTTTTTCTAAATTTTTAAATGCTTTGATATACTCTAATTTTGAAAATGAGAAGATGAAGCAGGGGTATGCAAAATATCATTTGTGTTACTTTCAAAAAAAAAAAAAATCATTTGTGGGGTCAAATGAGTCATTAAATTTGTATTTTTTGACAAATTATCTTATAAAATTCTAATTTCTTTTGTTCTTATTGATTGACGGTTTAATGTTCGGTAAAAAAATCAATTAACTTTGTCCCCCTTCAATATTATTTGTAGATTTATAATATAGATTTTGAAAAATAACGGATGGACCTAAGTTTCAAGTCTTATATGCACCTACTAAGCTACTCTACTCTATTCTCCTCTCCTTAGTCCTTACGCAACTAAATGGAACTTGACATGAACTCAAAATACATATGTAAAAATTTGTCCCAAATCCAAATCATCTTAAATTGCACATAAGATGACTAGAAATTGTAATCGACTCAAATCAAAATAATAAATAACCTGACTTCAACCTGCATTCAAATTGACCCATATGGACAAATTAGCTTAACATCACTAGATTGGTACAACTGGCAAATGTGTTGTGTCGTGTCATCCTCATGTTCGAGGAAAAATGGTTATGAAATCTCAACACTAACCAAAAACCTTTGTCCTAACTTGCTTCTTTTGTGTCCAATACGTGTATTGTTGTCGTGTTATATATATATATATATATATATATATATATATATATATATATAAAACAATTAATCTTGCATAATATTTATTTATCAATTCTAACCGTTAGTTATTTTTTAGGCAGATTTAGTTTGTTAACTCAGAAAAATATCAACTCTAATCCAACCTGCTTAATTAATCATGTAATGTCGACCTATTTTATTAAATGGTTCATAACTCTTGACACTAATTTTTTTTTTTTTTCCCTTTTTTTAAGTGTTGGATTCGTGTTCCATCAACTGTTGTCTTACGTGAATTCAACATGACTCAACCCATATCTGAACTTCGATCTGAATGATAGCCTACGTACAGGCCCATATTATACGAGATCAATTTTTCTGGAAAGTCAAAACAGACATCCCCGCACCACGATATTATCACCCACGAAATAAGCAAATAAACGTATTCTTACAGAGCTGAAAAATAGGAGTAAAGAATGCAAACCAACATTGCGTCAATTTATCGTGTCGGAATCTGCAAATCGTTTATCTCTCTTTCTCTCTCCTCTAATTGTAAGTTCTTACATCAATCTCTCTTCTCGTTATTTTCTCATCTTATTTTTTCATTTATTTTTATTTTTAAACATTTTACTGATTTAAAGACGACCTAATTACATTATCATGAAACCAACTTTAAATCGATGAATTTTTCTTATGAGAAACTTTAATTTTATATTCAGCTGGAATATACTTCGTATATACTCATG